TACATAGCTTGCTATTGATTGCTATTGGCCCATGTGGTTTGCTATTGCTTGCCTTTGGTGTACATAATCTTCTATTAGTTGGGCATGGCTTGCTATTGATTACCACTGGTATGCATGGCCTGATTGCTATTAGTGTGCATGATCTTGCTATTGATTGCTACTAGTGTGCATGACCTGCTATTGATATGTGTAGTTTGCTATTGATTGCTATTGGCACCTATGGCCTACTATTGATTGTTATTAGCCTGTGTGGCTTGCTATTAATTGCTACTGGTATGCATGGCCTTTGTTATTAGCCTGTGTGGCTTGCTATTAATTGCTACTGGTATACATGGCCTACTTTAGCCTCACTGTAGTACATAAAGTGAGCACCTAACCAATATAATGTGTTATGGTCTTGCATAGCCTAGTCTGTTCTTGCTTGTTAGATAAATGCATCCAACACAGGGGTTGCTAATCAGTAAAGACAAAAACATCAAGTCCATAGGAATGTGCCAGATTATGTCAGCAATATGATCTACCATAATTTTTGAATAGTTGTTACAAACTTGCTATTGACCTGCTATTGGTATTGCTTATTTGACTATCACTCTGTTATCGCTCCATTAGGATCTGACTAGGTCATTGAAGTTTGTTAGTGCACTACATCACTTACTCTAACTTGCATATGGATTGATATGACCTGCTATAGTCTGCTATGGCTTGCTATTGGCCTGCTATTGCTTGTCATGACATACTCCTATGATCTGCTATGGCTTGCCATTGGTCTGCTATTGCTTGTCATGACTTGCCCTATAATCTGCTATTATAGCCTGCTGAGGTGTCTTTATTACTTACTATATATGTGTATCTTACTATTGACTCACTACACTATAGACTGGTGTTGGCATATTTTGGCTTCACCATCAATAGCAATGCATAAAAGTACGAAAAATGTTCATGTGTTTGTGGGACCTGAAATATGGAAAAAAAAAATGACAATGAAACTGGACGTCACAGCATGGGAACTTAACACCATGAGAAAAAGAACATATGAGCATGGAGCCCTGGACAAGTGCCACAGATAGCAGCTGATAGCAATGAAGTCATGGCATAGCAGATTAATAATATTAAAAAGCTAATACAGGAGACTGAAACATGAAAAAAAATGGAAAAATGAAAATGGAGGCATGGGAACTTGACAGCACCAGATAAAAAACATATGGGCATAGAGCCCTGGATGAGTGCCATAGATAGCGGTCGATAGCATAGGAAAACCACAACTCGCTATGATCATGCACAAAATAATAACAGAGGACCAAACAATACTGATAAAAAAAATGAGAATGAAATGAGATTTCATAGTGTGGGAACTGGGACACTACAAGAAAACAATTATATGGACACAGCCCTGGCCCCCAAGTGCCATGAAATAGCAGCCAATAGCAGCAGAATGACATGACATGTGGTATAGGCTTTTTTCTGACTTTGCTATTCATTCCATTTATGACTCCGCCACGACACACTATGATCATGCACAGATATATGGACGGCGAGGCCATAAATGAAAGACTTCAAAAAGAGGCCAAAGGGCCAAGAAAAACATGAAAAATATGCAAAGCGTCGTGCGCTGGGGGACCAAAACACCGACCAAAAACCAGCGAACGAAATGGGATGTCATGGCGCAAGAACACGATAGCACGGGAAAGAAATCATATGGGCGGGAAGCCCCGGACGAGTGCCACGGATAGCGGGCGATAGCGCGGGAATAGCGAGACGCGCCGGGAGTGGGCCCCGCGCTCTGTGGGTTAGGATATTAGTCCTATATCTCTATGTTTGTTACTCTACACTTGAGAGTTTATAAGATTTTTTTCTTTTAGTGGTTCACCTGTCTTTTTACAGATGTATTCCCAGCCATCTGACCTCATCATATTTATCTTGGTCTGATCTTATAATATAGTCCTCTTCCAGTCCTCTTTCAGTCCAGTACTGGTGCTTTAAAGCTAAAGTTTACTTCCTCTTTCTATAGGCTAGGGATAGGAGAGTCCTCTTCTTCTTGATTGTAGCTTTAATATTTATTGCCTTGCAAGTATTATTGATGGTTTGAGTCCAGTGCCGACCCGAGTGTTACAGCAGGCACGAGATAGTATCGACCGTGAGCTGGATGCCATGAACCAACTACCAGCTGTAGCTACACCTTCAACTCAGCAGCAACAGAAAAAAGCGAAAACCAGCGCATATATCTCTGTTGTATGTCTGACTATATGCTTTAGATAAGACAGTAAAGGCTTGTCAGCAGCCTCAGGCCCAAGCAACTGAACAGCCAGCTCTATCTGCATCTCTTGTCACTGGCGTCTCTCGATCTTCCCTGTTGCCGAGATGAAGAAGGATGATCCAAAGAAGAGAAAAGAAACTAACATGTACTTGAAGCTTGGTCTCAGCGAGCCTTTTGACACATTCAAGACCCAGGTTCTTCAGCAAAGCCACAGAAGATTTCCTATGACAACTACAAAGCACTTTATGCCATACCTCGAGTCTCACCAACTCCAATGTCAATTTGTAATGAAAAAGACTATGAGGAGTTTATCGGACACATCACAAAGGCTAAGGGACTGATTCTGATGAGCTGAAGAGGAAGAAGAAAAAGGATGACAAGAAAAAGAAGACTCAGGGTATGACACTTGTGTTGGCCTCCCACATCTCGCTGGAACTTACATAGTTGGACTAGGCACCAAAAGCTAGTGACATCAATGATTGGAACAAGGCTCTCAAACAAAACCTCTCTATCATCGACACCATCTGTTGGGTCTCTTAAATATATTGTATGTGCTGCGGGGAGAAGAAATTCCTGTTTTTAACAGGCGGTACAACCATTATGACTGTATGCGGCTGGGAATGCGACGAGAAGATGGCACAAGACCATGGATGGACAGAGCAAGACAAGGAGCACGACAAAGATTTGAGGCCAAAATTTCCCACGGTGTGATGAAAACGCGTCCATGATTTTCGAGTATTTTGCTCATATGTCGCCGAGATCTCAATGCGATGATGTCATGAGACCATGGATGGAATGACATCGACAAGGAGCATGGTTTTGGACTCGGACAAAAAGTGATTAATAAGCGATGACTAAGGTGATGCGCCACTTGGATGACAAGAGTCTATTGATAAGCGATGACAAAGGCGACCACAAGCGACCCCTGCCTGAGACGGACGAAATGACCACCCTGAAAGCGACCCCCCCAACACGCCCCATGCGGAAGGAACGTTTGCGGGCCCCCGTCTGGGGAGTCCCCTCCCCATAGTTGGGAGGATGGAAAAATGGGAAACAGGAAGATTGGGAGATGGGAGATGGGAGATGGGAGATGGGAGATGGGAGATGGGAGATGGGAGATGGGAGATGGGAGATGGGAGATGGGAGATGGGAGATGGGAGATGGGAGATGGGAGATGGGAGATGGGAGATGGGAGATGGGAGATGGAGATGGGAGATGGGAGATGGGAGATGGGAGATGGGAGATGGGAGATGGGAGATGGGAGATGGAGATGGGAGATGGGAGATGGGAGATGGGAGATGGGAGATGGGAGATGGGAGATGGGAGATGGAGATGGGAGATGGGAGATGGGAGATGGGAGATGGGAGATGGGAGATGGGAGATGGGAGATGGGAGATGGGAGATGGGAGATGGGAGATGGGAGATGGGAGATGGGAGATGGGAGATGGGAGATGGGAGGACATGGGGCACAGTGGGAGATGGGAGGCAGGGAAAAATGGGAAAATAAATACATTCAATGATACTGTTACATATTTTGTATTTTTACATTTGTCAAAATCCTGCTCAAAGAACATAGGGAACAGACTGATCTTATGTACTACAAGAGTACCAATCACCTTCAAACATTGTGTGTCTGTATACTATGTTTGCCATAGTCTTCTCCTCGGCCTCTGTAGGAAATAGTGCCTGAATGTCTCTTTGACATTGCACACTCAATAGTGCAGTGTAAAGCTGACTGTGTGTGAACAAATCTGTATGAAGGCCCAGCACAGGCAGGAAAGTCATGCAAATTGGTTCCACAGGATCAAATGTTTCATCCTTACATATTGTAAATGTACTTTTATGTGGTGTGATAGATTGTACTTTGAGTTTTTTCAAAAAAGCTACTCATAAATGTATTTCAAAAGTGTCCAAAATGTACAGTTTATTAGGATGCAGCCTGAAGTCAAAAGAGGGTGTAACCCTCCTTGGCTTCCTGTGACGAAGGAACAATGCTCATCAGGAGTCCTTCTGAATTATTGGGATGAAGCTGAGGCCAGGGAGCTTAAAAAGAGCGCGAAGTGCTCTTTTTTTGCGACCTGTGCTGAAGGCAGAACAGGTGTGGACTAGTCTAAGAAGTAAAGTACGACGGTTTCGGGAACTCTTGTGCGCTCGCGTGGCTTTCGCATAGATACACTTAGATTCGCTTAGATTCGCTTGCATCGCTTATCTCGCTTAAACCTCTTTTGGAAATCTCGTGTGGTTTTCTCGCGTGCGCTCGCTAAAGACTAAGACTACACTGCTGAATGGTGCCAATGTCTGACAAACATAATTTTCCAGCTGCTCCCGCCCAACATTCACACATGGTTTGCCATATGTCAGCTTGAATTGAGTGACAGACAAATAGAACGATGCTGCTCTGACCTACAGCGCCACATGTCGCTCACATGATTCGTCAAACGTCTGAGCAATGTTTGACCGCCACAGTGCAAGTGTTGGCTACAAAATGTTCCCACAGCGTCCAATGTTGGATATTCCTTAGATGTTTGACAATATGCTTGGGGCAGCACTCTACAGACCATGCCTCAGCATATGGGCCATGCCATTGGGACTATAGGGTTTACTATTGAGCAATGCACCATTGCTTTGTCGTACAGACAGTACCGTACAGTCACAACAAATATTAATATCATGAACGTGATGGCATTAAAGAGTGTGTGAGGGAATTACAGGCAAAGACAACGAGAATATGTATGTAAGTACTAGACTACCACATCAACTTTTCATGGATCGCTCTTTGCCAACCAACAGTGACTGAATTCAAACTCAGAGCTAATGAACTGCCACCAGGGAATAGTTGGAGGTCTTGCTGAAGACATTCGGTGAAAAATTTGGAAATGAAGTTGAGAATTAGCGGTGTCAATTTTATCAATTAAAACATACTGTTTGATATAATCAGCGCGTGCTTGAGGAAATACATGCTTTTGTCGAGCCTCCTCTTTAAGCTTGTCAAGAACCTTATCAAGGTACTCCCAATACTGGCTAAAAGACCAGGTGCGCTCCTCCTCATTGTCATTATCATCCTCCCCATCCTCTCCAAGTCCATGGCTCGCACTGGCAGTAGCACCAATTGGTATGTTATTGTCACCACCTTCATCAGTCTCAGGCTGGGGCTGCGGGCTTGGACCTGTTGATGCTTCTTCGGGTTGAGCGCTAGTAGTCTTCTGGTGAGAACATAATGTTCGGAAGTCAATTAGGAGAGATCGCTTATGAACATAGAGAAATAAGTTGTCGAAAGATGTTGATCGAAGAATTACTTACCATGAATGCGATCCGGGCCCAGTGCGCCATTGTGAGCTCTGTGCAGTTGCCTGCAAGACTGTGGGCCAGTGTGCTTAGATCTGAACGTTTCTCAATTGATGCAATAAGCTGTTACTGACGACATCAGCCTAGATGCATGATGTAGTCACAATTGGAGACATCACCTTCTGTTTCATATTTCCCTGCTGTGCTGTCAGTATCTTCTTCATTAGTACATCAAGCCGATCCATAGCATCAGAGTCCTGCAGTGCTTCCACAGGGATTTTGAAGACCGATGGATTTTTCTTGGAGAAATCCTAAGTGCGCTAGCTGTTCAAGTGAAAAGTAGTAGCTGGAAATGCCAATGACACACATAGATTTTTGCTGAAAGATCAGTGACATATGCTGTCAAATTAGGTGACAGTAAGCATGCACGAAGGCGATCAGCTAAGGAACGCTTGTACATAATGGTAGTTAGCGCACGTATGGCTGTGAAACCAATGATGGAGTGAGCGTTACCTCAAAGTCCAGCGATTCGAGCACCTTGGCTGCTTTGGCTGCTTGAACCTTCTTATGAAAGCACAACAACTCAGCCATGAGCTTGATCATCATCAGTTTGATATCATTGATCTAGAACATAGAGCCGCAGCAGATCACTTAGTCCTCAGGTGTTAAATGAGAGTTCTGCAACTCACAGTAGCAAATTCCTCTAAGCTGTTTTCAGGTAACCCTTTGCTCCTGCAGACTTCGGCAGCATATGTCTTCAATCTCTTGACTTCTTGCTGCTCGGTTTCCAATGAGTTTGTGCATGGTCGTATGAGGCTATCCTTGGTGTGGCGACAATGGTGATGATGGGGGCAACTGGTTGCGCCGCGTAGGTGTAGTAGCAGCTCCTCCATGAAACTGCAGGACTCAGGAGAGTCACAGAGGGTGATGGCTGAGTAGTGGTAGTTTGTCGCCTGAATCGCGCTAGATACGACATCACTCCTTGTCAAAACTGCCAGGGCCCAGAACCACTTGGACGACGGGAATAGAAGTGGTCAGCCTGAGTGAGAACAGGGATGGATACATACATTTAACTAGACCCAGAATTTACGCAGTACAATGGCATGCCCCATGCATGCATGCAAATTACACAGCTCACAGCCCAACACAGTGCGTTGAATGTGTCCATTGAATTATGTTTCAATTTGCGAAGACGTCAAAGTGGTTGCTTGAAGGGTGTGGGACAACATGTTCACAGCTCTCGCAGTTGAATCATTTGCAAAAAAAGACTGTCAATTTGCTTGTTATCAGCTTAGATTATAGTATTATAGATTATTCTAATTCACAAAATGGTCAGTACTGCTGGCTGCTCTCGATCCACCTCCTGTGGAATCATGACGCCTGTTATCATTGAATAAAAAGTTGCCCGATGATCCCAGATGTTGCTGGACAGGGCCTGGAGGTCGGAACTGATTGAACTGAATACCAGACGGATAGTAAGAATATGGCAGTGGAACGCGCATACTCGCAGGAGGATGAGGATGGGCGGGAGGTTGGTATTGATGCGGTGGCAGCGCAGTGAAAGTTCTGGCTTAATAAGGATTCACCTGAGAATAAGTGTGGAATTGCAGTGGTTGTGGGGATTGAAAGATGGGTCCAGGGGGAGCAGCGCTGTTGAAATGTAATGGTTGTGGCAGCTGAATGGCAGGAGGAGCTGCAGCAACCGCATGCGCACCTGAAGCTGCCTCAGCTGATGCAGAAGCAAAGTGAGGAGGCTCAGCAGCTGAGGCTGCTGTCATGGTTGTCGCTTTCTTCCGAGTCTGAGCCTCTCTCTTTCTCTTTCCAGCCAGGCCTGTACTACAATCAAATGCAGGAGCGAGTTGACACTCTGCTCCAGCACTGATATTTGCGGTGTTCAGCTCCAATAAATGGCGCTGTTCTGGATGATCACGTCGAGTCGGCAGATATCAGAGACGCGCGTGTCACGTGACTTCTAAGACGGATGTCTTCAAAGTCACTGACGTTCTCAAAGTAAGGACAGTCTTGTCCGAACGATGAGGTAGTCGATCGAGGTAGACTTAGGCGCGATGAGCACCTAAGAAAAGATACTAGAGACTGAAGCTGAGGGGGCTTCAGAGGGAAGTATGTTCGAGGGAAGATTGAGTAGATTCAAGTTAGGGAATCTAGTACAGAGTGACCGACTACTTATACTAAGTGGAAAGGGTTAAGGGCAAGGCTACCGTACTGTAGGTAAGGGCAAAGGGGAAACGGAAAGGGTATAGGTACGATGGTGGCAGAGCCTGATTAGTGATGTAAGGTCGAATGCGGAATGAGACCGAGAAACGTTGGAACGAGCCAACGGTAAATGATACAATGTGCATCATGCACGAGTCAAAGGAAAGATAAGACAAGATAAGGAAAGCCACATTGGTGGCACGAGTCAGAACGAGATATACTGCCGCACAGCATCACCAGCGCGAACCCATTTCTTCTGCGCAGCATCAAACCAGAAACCGCCAGTTACAACATGCTTGATGATGTCGTGCGAAGCAAATGTATTGCAAGTGTCACGACTCGGAGCTTGATGATTGCTGTGAATGCATGTGAGACGAAAGACGTGGTTGAAGGATTCAAAGCGCTCTGTGGAAAAGAGAATCGCAGGTCCAAATCGACGAATGTACATTGGGATATGTAGGAGAAAGTGGAATTTTGCCTTGCTAATGAGAATACTTGGGGCGCATTGTGCACTGATTGTCAGAAAGTCTTCAATGGCGCGTGAGAGCTGTGCCTTCACTGAAGGTCAGTGCTCTGGAAAATGGAGATTTGCATTGAAAGCGTACCAGATAAGTTTCCAGATCATTGATTTTCGTGTGCCATAATAACACCACCACCTCGCCGATAATCATCCAGCCGTTAAGCACTGTTTTCGGGACAAGATCATAGATCATATATGGCATTACCTGTGCAAGAGACTTGAAGTGCTTGCCAATTAAGCTTCCCTTGTAGTGACAAATGTACTCCGCGCCGAGAGTTGGTGCATGTAGACCATTTGTGGAGATGGACTCGAGGCGAGTCCGAAAGGTGTCGAGTAGATGAGCCTTCTCGAGGATGAAGATGGTCTGGCCCCAGAAGTATTTGACGATGCCAAGAAGAACAGTGTGCAATATTTCTGTCAGTGTATCTCTGTGAATGTTAACTCCGGGCATTCCCAACAGGGGGTTGATGAACTCCTCGAGCGGCCGACCGACCACAAAGGAGGTCTTCAAATTCCTTTTCCAGTGTTGCATGAACTTCATCTTCTTTGAGGGCAGGTTTTCCAGCTTCCCGTTTGCGCAAAGATTTGCCAAGTACCAAGAGATGATTGACAATTGATGCAGAGGCCGCATCACGTATCCCTGAAGATGTGACTGCATTCTTCACCTTTTCAGTCCCTCCGGAGAGCTTCAATAGCGCGATTTGATCATAAATATATTTGCGAGTGTCATCAGGCTCACGCAGCCTCCCTGACTATGGTGTAGTATAAGACCAAGTGAAACAACGAATAAAACAAGAAGAAGAAAGTAACCTCGAAGATTTTCAAGTATCCTTCATCTGTTGATTTTTCAACCATCGTCCCACCGACATAGCAGGTTCTACAGAACATGTTGCACTTGAGACCACCGTGACTGCACTCTTCTGCCTGCATCAGGTTATCGCCAGCCTTGAAGAGGCCATAAGGAATGAGCATGATTTCTTCTTCGTACTTGCAATCCCATGCTATAATGCCCTGTTCAGCAGCGGCACTTGGCATCATGTTAGTATGAGTGTCGAGGCAAGGAAAGGCAAATAACAAACATTATTGAATCCTTGACACCCTTTGCGAGTTCAAGAGGTGATGCATGGGGTGACGAAGACACAAACCTCACGCAAAACTCCTTTTCAAGCATCTGACGCGGCATCGCAGCATTTGACATATAAACAACGTGATGTTTGTTCCATTGTTTTGAGACATTTCCGGATACATCATCAATGAAGATGATGAGCAGCACCGACAGAACAAGACGCCCTCCTGACTTCTTGCGAAGAGGATTGGGCATGTGCTGTGCATACGATCGGGAGGACTCTAACAAATAATCAAATTCAGTTGCATTGCTCATCAATGACATTCTTACTCGTAAAGCCACATTCAAATTCGCGCTTTTCAATTTCTTCAAAGGTGCGAGCAAATGTTGATACCTCAACAATAATTCGTTTGGGATCAACAATGAAACTGGCCTAATATAATTAGTATAGAAAGGTAACATAAGGCCAAGTTCCATACCGCAGTCAATGCCACTGGATTGTCTATAGCAAGTATCACCGGCTCCGGATGCACAGCGTCTCCATCAGGGAGATAAGCTTGAAAAAATCGTTCGGGAATGAAGTAACTTTGCGACGATTGTTGAAGAAGCTCGCCAGTGAAGTATATTTTCTTGCAAACTCGAACTGACAGCACAGCGAGGCCGGAAGGTTAAGCATCTTCTCGCCATGATGAGCCTGGGACATACTGCCTTGACCATCTTCGGGATAATCCTGCATACACATGCATGTGAGAGGATTGGTGTAGTCCTGACCCAATATCTTTGAGCTCGCCGTGGATGAAGAGGTAAGAGAACTAAATACCTTTGCGATTGCTTTTGCGATTGAATTGAGATAGAAAATATTGCCAGAATTGGCTTTCACCTTCTCAGTCGGGTTTCCGACTTGGTTACAAATGCGATCATGGCATTTCTTCAAGCCATAAAGGGTGGGGACATTGGGAGCGCCGAGTACCTTCGCCCATGTGATCACTGCCCGTTTCTGAGCATCAGAAAAACGGAGACGAGGTGAACTGAACAATAAGTCCGTGATGTACATCTAAATGGTGCCATCATTTAACCGCAATATCAATAATAAGTTAAACTTACCGGTAAAGATGGCCATGGATAGGTTGCACTAGCATGTAGTGAGGACGAAGCATTATCTGTGAAGAATTTAATGACGCACTTAACAAGGGCGAGATGATCTATGTACCTGACAGAAGCCCAAGGGTATCCTCATCCTCTTGCACGTCATCGGTAGAGTTGAGCTCATAATCGTCTGTGTGAACACCAATCTCCTCGTCACCAAAATGAAGTCGCATTGGCCCCAAAGGGTCATCGGTGTGTTCGCAGGCAGCAAGATATTCACTGTAAAGGTCCAGGTCATCAACGAAAGGTGTCTGAGACCAACCGTCACCCAAGAGCATGGATAGTAAGGGGGAAACTTCATCATTCTCCTCTGCCTCGCTCTCCGGTTCCTCCAGCTCCACAGTGCGTGAAGGATCTTTCTCTCGCTGGTCCACAGAACAATAGAGTTGGTCAGATATCAGCTCATGACTGCCAAAAGATGGCGAAGACGGGCTGTGCAAGAGGGAGGGAGGGGGTGGGCAGTGCATCCATTGACTGTGTTCCTGAGTCGAGAAGCGGGGGAAATGATGGTTGATCTTTGTCAGCTGTGATTGGAGAGGGAGGTGGGTCAGATCATGCGGTAGAGCTGTGCAGTTGTTGATTACGCTTGATCTTCATGTACCTCTTGTGTGATGTGCTCGAGGAGTGGGGATGGATGTCACAAGGTCACATGGATAGATGAATGCCTCGTTGAAGGGGACACATGAGACAACTGATCCGATTATTGCTTTTGTTGTAAGAATACTCTGTAGAAATTGTAGTAAGTAATGGTAGAAACGTGAAGGAAAAAAGATATTACCGCTAGGATTTAATGTGATCCAATGTTTTGTGTGAGGAAGGTAAATGCGGGAACCCATAATAGTCTTGCAGAATTGATTGAAGCTATGGGTCGTGATATATCACAGCATGCGGCAATATTCGAGGGAGCATCAGGCAGCAAGACAATGCGGCAACTGTGAGGACTTTGACACAATTATCAGAATGAAAGTCACATGAATACGCATTCGTTCTCACCACAGCCTGAAGGCATCTCTCCCGATTTCTGCCCGTCTCTGCCCTATACAAACCACCATACAAAATGTCAGCAACGGTGTACATTGACACCATCCAAAAAGGTGACGGTGTTGGACTGAAACCTCTTGCATTATCTGTTCTTTTCCATGGAAGTGTACCACATGTATTTCAAACAGCAACCCAGATCGTAAGTGGCTGCATTGCTATTATTGTTTTCTTGGAACTCAAAATAGCTTATAGCTGCTGGAAATCACTATTAACGTTCCCTCTGAATTTGCTGGCTATGTGGTGCCGATTCTTGATGCTGCTCCTTTGGTGATATCTAGCCCACAACCAAGGCTGCGAACGATGCGTCTACTAATTCCATTAATTACAGTACACCCTACTCACACACTGTATTCTCTAGCCGTCCTTCTTCCCTCTTCCATCAGACTTCGATCCTTTCACTGCAAGGTGTTGGGTCACACTCTTATATAAGCTCGAATCTTGGCTGGTTCACGTTGTTGTCGACACATGCGCACCTGAATGGACATGGGGTCGTGACGCATTCTGGATGGCATTTCTTGCAGCTTATCCTGACTTCCCTCATGGTTCTTGGCCCGTTTGGAATTCAAGAATCAGTCTGGAAGGAGCGTTTATTGAGTCATGGACACTCACTAAGGATCCAGAGGATTTACCTGCATTGATCACAGACCATGATACTATCAGAGCTGTTATATGGACTGAGTTTCAACAACTAGCCGCTGAATGTTTTCCGTACTCACTTGTAGCTGAGCTTTGATTTTCGAGAGCTACATATTTTTTGTCCTCGTATATAGTGTATATATATATCAGATACCCATTCTTACTGTCAAGCTTGTTGAATGGAATTATGACGTCTACAAGAATAATATAGACGAGCAAGTTCAAGCAGGCCGAGTCATTATATTGCGCTTAGGGACAACATTTACAAGAAACAGCAAACAGATATCTTTGTCATTGAGCAGCTATAGTAGATTTTAACTCATGTGTAGTAAACCAATGCTCGACCTAAACAATATATGTGATAAACATCTAGGCAAACACCACACACATGTCTAGATCGCTGTGTGTGACCTATGCTCCTAGTGCGATGTTCTACAGTGGCCACTTGGACCCAAGCTCGGATATATTCCAAACATCTGGCAGACGTTTGACTAAACGTCTCATGGACAACCGGTGGCAGACATACCACATTCAAACCAAGCTAACATATCACATGTGTCTGCTCGGCGTCGCCCCGGAGGTTCTCTCACAGGTCGTAAAAATATTTGTATCAAATGTTCTTATTAGGTTACGGCCGTTTGGCAGTGTAAGACTAAGTAAGAAGAGTGTGAAATAAAAATCTGAGTGAAATTTTTACAAGTCCAAAAATACTGCCAAACACGATATAGTGGACAGTAATACTCACGCCTACTGCGCCGCGGGAATGCAATGGACAAACAACAGACTTTTCCTACTATATGGGAAAGGCATCGAGAATAACAAAAGCAATAATAGAAATTTGATTACTTTTGGTTACATAAATCATTACACAACTTGGCTGCTGCTTTTGAATATAATTCTTGAGTTAAACTACCTTTCCCTGCAGCCAAGTGTAATAAAGTATGATACACTTTTGGTGGGTGTTATTTCTTATCAATGATAATAGAAATGACTAATTGACGAGTTTAGACAAATTTTGCACTTGCTAAACAACTGTTTGAATTCAATAACCATGGATGGATATATACCTATTCTGTGAGTTGCTGAATATATATATTGGTATGCGCAAGGTGCATGATGCTCATATCGGCACATTAGCAATCAAGAACAAATCATGCCAGAACGTGATCGACACTCCCAATGTGAACAAGACAGACTCAATCGACTTCAAATGACTTCTCCTACCAGACGTAATCGTCGTCGTGCTGCCCATGATAATCAGGACAGGCCTCTGCCTCCTGCACCACAGCCAAATTTTATGCCGGCTAATGAGCCACAAGCAGGACCTGTTCCACGACCTTTTGCTTGGCAACCTCCCCCTCACTTTCAATATGAGCCACTTCCAGTTGCACAATATCCTGGCTTGCCACGAAATGCGATTGCACATGTGCAGCGTGCTCATTGTCCTCCTCCGGTTGATTACAATGTACGCTTGAATGAGCGAGTGAATGCACCTCAAAATGACAGACGCCGTCTGTTATGAACTAGGATAGTTCTAACAGCAAAGGCTCGACAGAGCATTCGTGTTGCTGAGATTCGTAAAGCCCTTCAAATAAGAAGAGGTTCGTAGACTTAGTTAAAGGAGTGCTTTAACTAAGAGATCAGTTCTGACAACTTAAGATTGGTGGTCTTAAGCGAAGGAAGTTCTGGGTAAAACCTAGTAAGATTGAAGTGACGTTTCTAGGTAAAGTACACATGCTTAAATAGGACACTATATACGCACGGACCAAGGCTAAGGTGGGATAATAGTACACAGGTCGAATAAGGAAGTCAGATCAAAAAGGGAATTCAAGAGCGAAGGAAAGGTGATGCATAATAGTGAATCGTTAAGTAAGGAGCAAAGTGATTGTAACATTACCCCCTCACTAAGGTTGAAGCTACCAGATTCAATCATCCTGATTAGTGTGGTAGATAGGGTCGTCAGAATACTCAAGGTCGTCCGACCCGCCTTTCATGCGTTCTTCCAGATAGAGCGCTTCTTCCTCCCTGCATTGGGCGGCATATGCTTTGTCTTTATCGTTCTCCCAGAGTGCGAGGGTATGATAGAATCCTTCGTCCTTCCAGGTTAACGAGGTAGGAGCTTTTCCGACGTAGTGTGGGCAATAAAACGAGAGATGACTGGGGGATAGTTCTCGACAAACACGGCAATAATATTCGGGACAGTGGACTTGCCTATGTCCGAGCGTTTTGCAGTATCTGCAGACACGATTCTCATCTGGGTTCGAGGAGGTTGCCCGTAGAGGAGATGGGCCCGGCTTAGGGCTGAGCGCTTCATCAGCACTAGTAGCACATTTCTTTCCTTTATCGTTATGGGCATGCTGGCTCCATACTCTTCTCCTAGAGGGAGTGGTTCGGTGTATTGGATGTCCAAGAGGGACATCTTGTTGCTCCGC